TTGCAATTTAACAAAATGAGGGAATTGCAATTCCCTCGAACCAAACACTGTAATTGAAGCCTTCATTGGATTACAATTCAATTATAACTAAACTACATCCAACCAAACATCCCCTTATTATTTTGTTATAGTTTTTTTGTAAGTTCATTATATAGTTGGGGAATGAGGACTTTTTTTTAATTTTTTTTAAATTTTTTTTTTTTGTTTTAGCAAATTACGAGTTGTAACTCCAACAATACTTTCAAGATATATATGAGATAGTAAACAAATTAAATATTTCACGTCAAATAAAAGTTTTTTTTTAATAAATTTTTAGTGTTTGATTATACAAAGAAAATAAAGTCAACAAAAATACTTATTTTAGTTAAAGAAAAAAAAATACATTTTGGAGGTAAATGTCTTCCAACATTTTCTAATCTCTATCCCATGCTTGGCTCTCTCTCCCTCCCTTTGTATGTAGTGTTAAATGATCATGATCAAGCTAGTCCAAGCCAAATAATTTTTTTTTTTTTTTAAAAAGTGACTTGACCTAGTCTATAACCCAAAAGATTGAGATTTTTTTTTTTTCAATTTCATTAATTTTGAATTATTTAGAAATTTACATATTTATTTGTATTATAATCAATTACATCTTAAAAATTATTAATTTATATTATCATTTTGTGGTGAATGCTATCCGTTGATAACTACTTTTTCAACCTACTAAAGCACAACAAGCTAATAATGCCTCCACCAAGACTTGAACTCAAAATCTCCTATATGGAGTCCAACTCGGGTGCCATCTGTGCATAAGATACTTGGCTTACATCATTTTATTATACTTATAGTTATTCTATATAACTAATTAACTCTATACATTTAAATTTATAACTTTATTACAATATAATAAATGAGATCATAATGTAACTACAATGACACAAAGTTTAAACTCCTAAAAAATAATAATCAAATTTTATTTAAGTAATAATAAATAAGTTATTTTACAAATTAGAAAACTTAATTTTTTTTTTTTTACGAAGGATCAATAATGTAGTTAAGTATTAACTAATAAGAGTAAGTTTATACATTAAAACTACTAAGTATTTCAAGAAAAAATTTGTACTTTCAGCCAAACAGAAAATAATAAGTTTTGGAGGCTTCTAAGTGATTCTTGATGTTAAATCTCAATACTTTGTTCAAGTGGCAAGAACTTTGAGACTAAAAACAATTGAATATCAATTTTAGTAGATATATTCATTAGTTATTTGATTGAGAAATAAATAAATTGTAGACCCACTTTTTGAGTTAGGAAAATGTTTCAAATAAATCAGTATATAGTACATGCAACTGAGCTCTCTAAGTAGAAAAAAGGTTTCATTTAAACCCTTTAAATTGACTAAATGCTTATTTAAGTCCTAATGTAACATGTTTAACCCATTAATTTATAATGCTTTGGATCCCATGTACAATTTATTTTGTTTAAAAAATTTTCCGAGTAATTGGGTATTACCATACGTTTTTCATTTTGTTCCCATCCTGTTAGGTCCCAATTTTTTTTTTTTTTTTTCAAATTTTTTATTACAGCCACCAATTGTCAAAGGGAGACATCCATTGACTTTTCAACCACAACTATAGTTGTTCATTAAAGATGGACAGATCTCAACGACCATGGCTATCTGCCTATCTCATCATCTAGATCTAAACCTCAATTAAACTAGAAGGGATCGAGTTGAAGGCCGCGGCCTAGCTGCCATCGTACAAAAGGGAGACAAAATGAGGCCTTGACTTCATTCACTCCCTTCATAGAGGGCCAAATCTGATCTAGACCACTATATTACAGAGGTTCACATTTGGATATTAGATTGTTGTGACTATTTTCGACAACATCAATTGTCCACATTAAAAACGGCAAGTGGACATCCTCCCCTCAAAAAAAAAAAAAAAAGTGTAGAATAAGATTTACGGAGTAATTTTTTTTGAAAAATTCAGAAATATTATTTATAAACTCACCATCTTCATCAATATTACTTGTCTACTACATCAGTGGTAACTTGCTAAATAAGCCATTTTGAACTTAATTGAACATTTTTACTAGTTTAAAGAATTTAAATGGAGTTTCTTAAATTTAGGGGTTCAATTGCACTTGTGTAATTTATCAATTTTAGGTTTTTTTTTTAAAAAAAAAATTGAAAATACCTTTTCATTTGAGTTAAGAAAAGCAGTGATACTAAGAGGTGTTAGTTTAAGTAAAGGGGTTTAAGTTATTTAAGTATGAGGTTGGAGGTGGAAATAAACGAGATTCATAATTTCGTATAATAGGCTTATGCTCGAAAGTTCTACAAAGTCGTCTTAAAACTCAATGGCTTCACGTTTCAAAGCCCAACTGATTTCCTACTTATAAATGTATAATATTTGAGCCCACCATGGTGGACCAATCTATCTTTCATGCGATCTATGGCAATGAAATGGGCAAATTTTCCTGTGGACCACGGTTCATGCAGCAACATCGAACATAAAGCAAAACGACGTCGTATCATTTTAATTACACTTCAGGTTTATTTGATATTATTACTCTTATTTTTTAGTGTTATTTTCAATGCACACTAGTTTCATTATATTAACGCTAAAGTATCATTTTAATTCTACTATAGTTTCAGTTGACATTATATGTTATTGCATGAGCTCTGTTTCGTAGTTTCATTTTAACAACACTAAAGTATCATTTTAATCATATTACAGTTTCATTTGGCAATCGTATTGAACCATGGTACATATAACGCTATGTGGATCATGGTCCATGTATTGACACTGCCATCCACATTTAATTTCGTTTATTTACCAATGTTATATCATATATGCATTTACCATATTGATAAAAAAAAAATAAAAAATTTATTCCCAGCAAGAGCAGTATATTAGCTTTCTTGATTTGAGTTAGCCGTCTGATATGGGTAACCTAAGATGATATGATTTGCCTTTTTATGGTCCTTTGTCGACTAGGGTCACAAGTTGGGATTTACATACTCACTGTACACTCTCAAGTAGTAGTAGCTACGAATTTCCCTCTATCATTAAAAAAATATTATTCACAAAAATAATTTAAAAATTCTACTCAAACCCGCATTGTGACCTTAGTCGAAAAGGACCACAAAAAAGTTAACTAGTCTAGGTTGGATATTGTTGAGCGGCTTAAACTGAGACGGCTAATACATAATTTCCACAAGGAGTTACATTTGGAACATTGTGGTTATTAAGTAAAGTACCCGATCATTATTAGTTCAATACTGATAACCTAAATATAACTATTCCACTGCAAATCTCAGTTACTATCTTATTACCAAATTTGTATCCGTAAGAATTTGGGTAGAAACCGTTAATTATTATTATTGTTGTTTGAGACTTTGAACACTCGGATTCTTACATGTGCAATATAATTATTATGTATAAAAATTATGCTTATTACCTGGGTAACGTAATATTGGGCTGAAGTTATGGTACTAGGGTTAGGGGTAGCGACTTAGGGTTAGGGCTTAATATAATAAGTGGCAGTCCTTAAACTTGACTATCCCCATTAATTCTGTTACTCTTTCTTCTTACAAATATAGATATAGAGTAGGTGGGGATTCATTGTACAATAATGTATATACACACATAGGAGGAACAAACAAAAGGGGCTAGTTATGTAGGGCTATCAGTCCCCTATGTGACAATATTCCTTTTGCGACTACAAAAGGGTTCTTTGTATAATACTTAAATGGATTGATTCCTTTATGGTGGGTGGCAATTTTGGAAGGATTCAGAAAAAAGAGGAGAGAGGGTTGGCTGGGAGGGGATAGATAGAGTTATATATATAATTGTTTATCATTATTTATTACTAATAATTAACTAAATGTTTCAGTTTGTGTAAGTGTAAACGGTCGAGTTTATGATGAAAATGTTACTTACACTAAATCTTGTATTGTCTTACATAGTTTATGAGTAATAATATATATTGATCTGAAAGAATATTGTTATTCTGCAACTGCAAGTTCTGCAGCAGATCAGATCTTTTGGTGATGATAGTAATAACACAAAGGAAAAGGCAAAACATGTAATGTTATATGTGAGTTGTAGTGATGAGGTTAGTTTTTTTTTTTAGTAATTTTGTACTATCTGGGGTGGGAGAATGTCCGGTGGGTACTGATTGGGAAAATGAGCTCATCACTTCATTCCATGCAGTTTAATTTTAGTCTGTTTCTTTCTGCCCAGGACCACCTCATAAGCTGATCAATAAGAACTCCAAGTTAAAATCCTTGAAAACTTCAAAAATCCTCAGCTTTTAAAATATATATACAAAACAAATGAAATCAACAACAACTAGTGCATGTCTTGCATGCAATTTGCATCCTAAATTCTTGTTTTTACACACACATACAGGTCAATTATTAATTGCTTCCTTGAATCCCAATATATTCTCCCATGCACATATATGTATGAAAGAATTGACATTAATTAATCTACCTCTTAATATATCCAAGTTGTTCAGAACGAGGTTTTAAACCTTGAGACACTACAATTTTTGTCAGAAATGGTTGTCCATCCATGTGAATAATATATTTAACCCTCCCAGTCCCATATTTACTTAAGCATGAGATTTAAACCTAAAGAGAGTCCAAATTTTGCCAGAACTTTTGACTGTAGCTGCATCATTATTCTCAAGTTCAAACTTGATATCTCTTGTTAAGAGGTGTGGGTAATCCAATAAACTTAGTTTTTTTTATTGTCAGGATCAAGAGTTTACTACTACGCAAAAAAACTATAACTAGTAGCTAGCCATCAGTGGCACGTTTCGATGGCAGGATACTGGACTCAGCTCTTCAAGCTGTCTCCCAACATACAGATCGATGTATATATATTCAAGAGTTGATTAAATTCAATACTCATTGTAGTATAAAAATAAATAATTCAAGGAACATCAGACTACAATATACTACATAGTAAGAATTATATTGATATGATAATGATTAATGAATAGAAGTATATATAGAAGATCAGATATGCATTAATTTGAAGCTTTAATTTTATGATGATATGATACAGTTTCGTAGTTGGTAGACCCTGCACCCATATATACTAAAGAAGTACAACAATGGCAACTCTCACTCACTCACACGTACAGTCTGCAAATTAAATTAAAGCCTCCATGTTTAGGTTAAGTTGTAAAAGTGATCGAGATCAGATCAGAGAGATAAACTAAGAAGAAGAAGATGGTAACAAGAAATAATATAATCTGTGTTTCCAAATAAATTAACCAGTACGTTTTTAATTGGTTTAATTTGCTATATATTTCATTTCACCTTTGGAGGACTACTGCCAAGCCTTAGCTCCAGATCCAATTCTTGTTCTATGGAGCTATGGATCCTTTCGGGCTGGGGACGACGGAGGCCGCCGCCGCATCTCTCAACCAAACACGGTTTTGGATCACAACCAAACAGGCTATCATCAATCCTCCTCCTTTTGCGGAAGCTGCCGGACAAGTCAGCCATGTCATATTCTCCTTCAGCCCTACAACGAATTGACTTGGACATTCTTAGCCTCTCATCGTCCTCGTCGCAATTAATGTTCTTCTCCAAATCTTCTAGAATTCTTGAATAATTCTTCTTCTTCTTCTTCGTCTCCCCATTCACACCATCATCGTCCCGGAGATGAAAGCAGGTTTCACTCCCCAGATTCGGCGCAAGAATTCTACGATCAGAACTGGGATTGTACAGAAAGGTAGAAGCTTGAGTGAGAAGGGGCCGGCGGGGATTATTAGTGGTTGGAACACTTAAATCTCCATTATGAGACGGGGGAGAGTGCTTCAACCTTGCCCTATCTCTTCTATGGACGTTCATGTGGCCGCCCAGAGCTTGAGCGGACCGGAACTCTCTTCTGCAGAAGTTGCAGGTATAAGATCTGGGAGGCCAAACGCACCCTCCAAGCGCTCCGGCAGCGTCCTCTGCAAAAGCTTGCTCTTCCCAGGAATCGCCGCCATAGGAAGAGCTCAAATCGAGCTTTGGTTTAGGCCACACCCAGTACCTTGTTTGTTCCATGTTTGGATATGATCGATGAGTTAGCTAGGTTGAGCTGCTCGATCGAGGGGGTAGATCAGAAGATGAGAGGCCAAGAAATTGAAGTTAGGGGGAGAAAGATGAAACGGTGGGTATAGTATAGTATAGTAGTGTGGATGACTGAGTGATTCATGCAGCTGCTCTCATTTGGTTTTTAGCTGGTACAAGTGGAAGACATATCTTTGGGTTACGTTGTATGCATATTTCTGCACTTCCTTGTAAAATTATATACTGCTTTAAAGTATGTGGAATTTTCTCAAACGTATTTAATTTTATACTCTTGTGCCACTTCTCTAAAATAGAATGTTTCTAGGGAATGAAAAAAAAAAAAATTACAGTATGATAATTCTTGATCCGATCCTATCTAAAGAATTAGATGCGAGTTTGTCTTGTCATTTAAAAAATTTACACATGTTCTTATTAAAATAAAAGAAGCAGAAATTAATAAAAGCAATGATCATTTTTTTAATAGATTAATCATAACATGTCATAAGAAAACTATAAAAGAAAAAAATATAGTAAAAAGTGTGAGCAAAGGTGATAGTAATTTTGGACAGTGGTTACCGGAAAAAGAAAAATGTTAACCTGGGACAAAATTGTTATCTATTTTCTTTTCTTCTTTTTTTTCACAGAAAAAAAAAAGGCATTATAATAATAAAATGAATTGGCAAAGTTCTTTAAAGTTATATAATTTGAGTATTGATATGATTATGGTGTAGTAATATTTTAGGAGTGATTCTCCTGTGAGACAATTTCACATATTCTTAATTATTTGTAAGATGAGTTGGGTCAATATAAAAATATAATATTTATATTGAAAAAAATGTAATATTTTGAAAAAAAAATGTACTCGGTAATATTTTTAAATAAAAATATAAAAGTATTATATTCTTTTCAAAATATTACATTTTCCTTTATAAGTAACAAACAGTTTATTCGTGATTAGTATTACATTTCTCAGTATAATTATTACATTTTCATTTTGATCTCACGCATCTCACTGCACAAACAAGGATTCGTGAGATAATCCACATGGGCTTAACTCAATGGTTTAGTGGGTAGTATTTGGGGTAAGGATTCATGAGATAGCCTCACACAAGTTTTTACCATATCTTACAATAAGTTTTTTTTTTTTTTTTTTTTTGGTCAAAAATAAAAATATAGGCATTTTTATACATGATGTTTTTATTACTTTTTTCTTTTCTCGATCAACTAAGTTCATATTATTAAATTTTCAAAAAAAAAAAAAAGTTCATATTATTAAAATATTTTTTATTTATTTATTTTCTTTAAGAAGTATTCAAATAAATTAAAAGACATTTGAGAAATTTTAATATGTCAAATACACACATTTTACAATATAAGATCATGTCCTACATATATAAATCAGTGGAGTAGGGCCATCAAAGACCATCTTGTGAGTATGCTGAGAATACTTCCACACAAAGTGAGATCATCTGATTCCACCGGTTGAATTGCATGATGACAAAAAATAAAAAAAAATAAAAAATAAGGTGTTTATAACTATCTTATTGATATGCTTGAAATAAGGTGCCACCTTTCTTTGGGTATTAATTATGAATGATATTTTTGTTGAGCCCTACACGCAAAACCTAACTTAGCTTTTGCTGGTTGATAGAATAGGTTATTATATATGGATAAAATTTGTTATATATTATCATAAAGAAAATACTATTTGGAATCTCAAGTTCTACTCACTTTTACTTCCTTACTACAAATTGTAATGTTTACATTTTTCTTGAGATCCACATGATAAAGATAACTTATCATCTCTTATCACATCGAGTAAAAATGTGAAAATAAGAATTGAGAGTCCATGTCGTAAAAATCTTATCATAATGATAAATACTTTAATCATATTTTAATATAATTTACATTATACATATTTTCACTTTTTACTCTATTTTTTTTAACGCTATGCTAACATGACAATTGATCTTAAAAAATAAAATGAATCATAATTTTTATTCTCCAACAAAATGAAACACGCACCAGGGATTTTACTCTCTAACGATCTAGCTATTATTTTCCTTTTAATACCTTATTTTGTCTCCTCAATTTAAACAGGTAAAAGATTGTTAGTTGAGCACATTATATTGATTGATGGGGCAATGGGCGGGTAATGTCACAAGAAAAATCTAATTTATCAAAAAAAAAAAAATCGTAAATACATTACTGAAATTCATAATTGTTTAGTTTACTAATGAATTTTCATAATGGCCATTTAATCTAGTGTCTCTACTTTTTTTTCTTTTTTTTTTTTTTATTGAAATACTCATGATTCTTTACAAGGTAGTATCATACTTTCTCAAACATTTTCAGCACAAAAAAATCTAAGCCCCCACCACCGAAGTTCGAATCGAACCTATAACCATCTATTTAGATGGGTAACTAGGATGCCATCACACTACATGGTAATTGGCTAATCTAGTGTCTTTTAGACCAGTTAGAAAATTGAAACCTATAATTAATTATTATGCTGAAAGATTATTGTATCATTTAATTGTTGGAAGACCAACTAATTATTTATTCGATATAATTATTTGATATATTAAATAATGATTTCTGGTACAAATTATTCTAATTTTAATAGCGACTGAGATCAATTATTTACGACGTTAGTGATAGTTAATCTCATAGAGATCAAATATTTTTCTAAATAAAATGCAATCACTTGGATTTGCATTATTTAGTTTGTGAGTTTGCTTAATTTCTTTTGCTGCTACTAAAATAAATTTATTATACCATGAAAGATAAGATATATATATATATATATATATATATATATATATATATATATATATATATATATATAGAGGGTTGCATTCAAATACAAACCCCTTTAAAATACAAACTCCAATTAAAATACAAACTTGAACTCGTGCACACATTAACATACTTACATGCACACAGGGCGTACTGCCAACCATTTCTGGGATTAGCATGTGCACACAATAACATACTTACATGCACGCAACACGTAGGAGGAAAAATCACAACCATCCATCAAAGCTCGTGCACACATTAATATACTTACATGCACACACCGTGTAGGAAGAAAAAATCAGGACCATCCAATACCACCATCCAACGGCATCAAATTGTCCACATGTTTTTATTTTAAGATGTGTTTTTACCTGAATGTAAATCTATATATATATATATATATATATATATATATATATATATATATATATATATATGTATGTATCACTCCATCAACCCAATAAAACATGGAAGTGGAGATTGCTCAATCCAATAATTGAATGAAAAGACTAGACCCCTATAATAAATTGAAAACATTATAATTATGTTGCCACAAAATAAAACAAAAATCAACTCTCTTCGGTTAGACAAGCCATCAATAATGAAGAATATAGATTGATTTCTTTGGCCAGAGGATAAATAATGTACGTGATAAAAGACGAAGAACAATCATACCAATGGACATTCTAGCTATAATCCAATATCAACATAACTATAAACCTGCAGCTTTTATGATAAATTTTTCTTTTACATAATATATAAGTACTCACATGCTACTAAACATATCTAAAAACATAATAAGCTTCAATCCAGGTTATACCCCTAGTTTATGTTCATGTTTTTCGTTAATTTTTTTTGTACATTGTGCTATAAAAGCTGTACTACATAATTTTTTGGACAAAAATATTCATGCCGTTATAACTTCTGTTATCTTTCCACATTATTATTACCATGTACATGCATACACAATATTTTTTCTTACATCCTTCAATGGTAAGTTTGAATTCATTTAGGTTTTAATTAAAATGTTACCATAGTTATATTTAGTAAATTATCATTTCTATAATTCTTACCTCAATAATATTAATATGAATTATACAATTATATATATATATATATATATATATATATATATATATATATATATATATATATATATACACACACACACACAATTATTTTTAAAAAATTAATATAACTAAGATTTTAATATTTAATTCTAATATTGGGCATATATTTTTTGCGCATCGAGCATATAAAATAATAGTAGAGAGAATAAGATGATATTTAACAATAATAATTATTATTATTGTTAAATACAGAAAATTAAACTAAGCACAGATTGATGATGAAGCAAATAAAAGTTTTCAATTATCTCCAGTCTGGCAAGAGAAGGACCGGAGTTGCCATCCAGTTGGTTGACGATGAACATTATATTCTGCCATGGTGTACGTTGACAGCTATAAATTGATCTTCAATTCCGGCAAATTGGAGCTTATTCGAGGCGCAACTCAAGACAAGAGGTCATTAATAGGAGCATTACTTCTTTTCTGACTTTCCACCTTAATTTGCAAAACCGTGTCACAAGCAAAGGAAAAACATACATTTTGTTTCGATGTCGTCTTTACGTTATATACCAAGAAAAAATCGGTGCTTTCACCGAAAAAAAAAAATAAAAAAAATCGGTGCAGCCCCACGAGTTTAGCTCAATGGTTCATAGACAGTATTTGAAAGAAGCGACCCAGGTCCAAATTTCAGCAGCGACAATGTGAGGATTATACTCAAAGTAAGCAGATCCCTTGTGCACATCAACATTTGACCCCTATCTGCAGAGTCATTAAGTCATAATTTATTACATCATCCCAAATATTCTTTCAGACCGGGGTGTAGGGACCTTTGGGGTTGGGATTCAACTTTATGGGGGAAGAAAAAATCGGTGCATGGTTACAATTATACATGTATTTTATTGTTGTCTCTTATAAGTTTCCTTTTTTCTTTTCTTTTCTTTTCTTTTTCGAGGGATATGTTTGATAGGCATAACTTTACAGGAAAAATTAATTAACATGTTTGGTGTTACCATCAAACATAACAATTAAATTACTTCAACAATTAATTAACATGTTTGGTTCATTTAAACAAGTCATCGAATTAATACCAAAAAATTAAAATCAAGTTATATATGAAGTAATATATATATATATATATATATATATATGTAATTGGTTCATGTGTGAAGGGTCTCCCATGTGAAAATTGGGTGAAATCTTAGCCGATGATCAAATCTAGATCAACGGCTCAAAATGAAAATTTTTTTTTAAAAAATGCGCTTCTTGGCAACAGAATGTGAATGATCAAGTGTCTCGAACTGATGCAC